TCAAAGAGAATCAGCAGGAATAAAAGTTCTCTGCACAGTAAAATCTCCCTGATTTGGACTGGATTGACATTTAGTGAAAAGAACTGGTTGCCTGTTCTTAAAGAGTGTTCGGTAGAAAGTGGAATAGTGTATGAGAATAGTATACAGTACTATTATTTTTTCATGGTAACCAGATCAACAAAGCCTGGCCTCCTACTGGCCCTGCTTTCATAGGGATAAATAGTATGTAATTAGCTTATTGAACACCTGTCTCCAAGACAGGCATATCTACGAATTAGGGTCTGAAACCAATTGGTTAGAAATTTTAAAACTGTTTCTATTTACTATTATTTGCTTAGAAATTTCTTTAGTACAACTATAGACTTTGTTTTGTTGGTAGAGATGGGGATCTAGTTCTGTTGCCCAGGCTGGTCTCAAAGTCCAGGACTCAAGCAATCCTTCCACCTCCACCTACCCAAGTGCTGGGATTACCAGCATGAGCCACGAAGCCCGACCTAGACTTTGTATTCAGAGTCAAAAGAAGTTTATTGAGGTTTATTAGGAACTATACGGTATAATATGCACTACCTCTCAAGCAGGTATCTATGCTTGGTTCACAGTAATTTTCTTTTTTGTTTTATTTATTTATTTTTTTCTCCCACCCCAACCCACAGTAATTTTCATAGCTTCTTAACAGAAGAAAGTCAACTTAGTAAGGCTTTACAGAATTGATATTCTATCTTTTAGGGACTACATAATTCTTTTTCTTTTTTTTTTTTTTAGACAGAGTCTGACTCTGTCCCCCAGGCTGGAGTGCAGCACGATCTCGACTCTCTCTGCAACCTCCGCCTCCTGGGTTCAAGTAATTCTCCTGCCTCAGCCTCCCGAAATAGCTGAGACTACAGGCACACACCACCGTGACCAGCTTATTTTTTGTATTTTAGTAGAGATGGGTTTTACCATGTTGCCCAGGTGAGTGTCGAACTCCTGAGCTCATGCAATCCGCCCGCCTCGGCCTCCCAAAGTGCTGGGTTACGGGCGTGAGCCACCGCACCTGGCCCCTATATAATTTTTATAATTATTGTTTAATTCTTTTGAGAAGAACCTATAGATCTTTATATTGTTTCTTTTGAGAAGAACCCAGTAGATAGAAACAAAAATCACTAAGACTAAGGAGAACACATATACTGTACAGAGCTTCTATTTTCTTCCTAGAGATGTTCCTGAGACAGACTAATTCTCTCCATAACTTCATCAATTTAAAAAATATGCATACAATCATAGCATGACCTGGAGAGAATCCTTGCTTTATTCACCAAGCCTCCTTTCCCTGTAGTCTACATTCCACACCTATACACACCAAATGAAGTTGCAGAAGATGAAAAAGACAAAAATGCAAATATCTAAAGATGTCTTTTTTTTTTTTTTTTTTTTTTTTTT